CCTCTCCTTCTTCCTTTTTTTGTCATAGTGTTTCATTGCAGCACTAGAACTAAGACAATTATAATGCCACTTTCTTTGGTCATTTGTAAAGTTTCTGGTGCACACACATAACTTTGACACTCATTTTCGACTTTATTCTACCTGGCCCTTAATAGTCCATTTTGAAGACTTTGTTTTCAATAATGGAGGCTACTATGGAAATAGATATACCTTTATATTATATTGAAAAAAATCCGTGGTCGTACATTATTACATTTGGGGTAAGTTTAGAGATGAAGTTATCAGACAGGAAATGGTAATAAAATCCATAAAAGCAATACTGACTTTTACCAAAATAATGATAGCAGATATGATGCAATATATTTTAATGGCAAGGCCAACAATTGACTGAATATGCTGAAATATTTTATGATTGACTAGATTAAATATTATATGTATGAAACCCCTGCTCTTAATGCTGTGGGATCATTCAGAGTTAATTTGGCCCTATTCCAGATGTGGCCAAATGCTGAGACAGATGACACTGTATATGAACCAGAACCCCTTGAAAAGCTGTATATTTTGCATAATAGAGATTTGTGGGAATGTGTGTCTCAAGTGTAGAACGAAATGACAGAGTAGGGGAAGAGACTGCTTTAGGGATTTGTGCTGTCTAAGGAGAATATTCCCTATATCTAAGTACATTTTTGTACATGGTTTTATTCTTGTCCCTTAGCCAAAATGATGTACAATAAACCAGCTTGCCTCCATCTTAGGCTTGAAAGCTATCTCAGAGCAAAACAAACTAAGCTCATTCCTATTTATATTAAATCTCTGTTTCTCAAAGATTTGTCTATGCCCAACTGTAACCTTAACTACAAATGATTCCATACTGCCCATTCCAGGAAGTGGCAAGCATTATGACCACCTTGTTATGACAATGTTGTTATGACCAACCTGCAACCATGCCTTGTTTTAGAAGGTTATTATGACCACCTACTTATGCTTATGTTCTGCTTCTGTAACCCTGCCTTTTTCCTGCCAAGTCATCCATTTGGAAACCACCTATTCCTGGGCTATAAAATCCTTATCTTCCCCATATCCAATGCTGACCTCTTAAACCCCAGCTTAATGAGACATAGCCTATTTACTTGAGTGAAAAAGCTTGCTTTAATTTATCCGGTCATGATTTAGATCAGTTATCTTTCTCCTTGAATCTGTGGGATTAACAGGGCACTCCAAGCCCGGGATGTGAAAGACAAATGAAAGGAAATAAGTTGAAAATTAAAGACTGTAAGCAATCAAGTTGAATACCAAAATATGTTTCATAACTACATAGAGTTCCTCCAAATACCATTGCATCAGTAACTAGAAGCATAGAATCACTGTTAGTAGAGGGAGAAGACTACATGTCAAATTGGTACATTCAGAAAAGAAGTACCAGAATCTCGAAGTTTCAGTTGCTAAGATACATACAGAAGGAACTATGGTGCTGTGATGTATTCTGTTTAATAAAATAAACTTCCCTGACATGATGGTGAATGACTAATTTATGAATAAACATAAATGTATGTAAAGCACATAAATGTAAATATATATTTGTAAGCATCAAAGAAGCACACTTTTATGAATTTAATCATAAAAGCTGTAAGCAACCAATGCTCTATGACAACATTACTTTTATTGTTTTGTTTTACTTTTGGCAAACAATAATCACATGATATAACTTGGAAATAGGTAAATAATATTAGTTTATAATTTTGCTTGTCCTTTATCAAAATCAGAATGTAGTGGGCAACTAAACTATAATTATGCTTTAATTGCTAAACCTATCTTGGAAAAACCAGTCTCTGGTCACAGAGACATAAAACTGCTCTCTAGACATAGTCATAAATTCCTATACAATATGTCCCTGACATAAAGGTTATGAGAATTGCCTGATCATTTAACTGCTGAACACATAGAATCTGAAAACATGTCGGGGAAGCCAGTAGTTGTTAACAGCTTTGATTACTAAACTCATAAAAATGTGTCTCTGAATTTTACAAATATGTATTTGCAAATATGTGCTTTGTATGTATACATTGTGTTTATTTGTTTATTTAGTCATTCACCATCATGGAAGGAAAGTTTATTTTGTTAAAGAGAATAAATCATAGCACCAAAGATCATTTGGTATGTATCTTAGTCATCTGAAACTTCATGTTTTGTCAAGACTCTGGAACTTGTTTTTTCAATATAACAT